GTCACCTGCTGGAAACCGGGTCCAGCGTCCCATTTACATAGCCTTTGTCTCTTTATAAAGATATGTGAAGATAAAGACTGCCTCTTCAGCCAAACAAGGCCGCCAGATACAACTATTAAATCTAGCAGAAAAATATCTCCTGGAAACAGTCTAACGACCAGCCCGACAATGGAGACAAGCTTTCCCTGAGATTGCATCAGAATGCTAGAAACCTCAGAGATCCAAAAAATGTTGCGTTCATACTTCATTGAGGATACCATTGCGAATCCACCATTGCTAATTTCCGCTGGTACAATGTGGTTTTACTGTGATATGTAATCCTCAAGCTACATTGGCCGTCGCCGCACGGGACATGAAGCGAGAAACGAAACAAGTGCATCTTCCTGCAGAAAAGGGCCAGGTTCATCGGTTTGCTATAAATAGTAACGAGTGTATTTTGCCACCTTTCGTGGGCAGATGCAGATGCACTCGTTTCGTTTTTTTCGTTTCGTGTGCCGTGTGGCGAGGCCCATTGTGTACTAATGTTTCATGTCGTGGAAGAGTCCGGCGAACGACCGTGCAGTTGTGCATGGGAAAGCTCACCGGATGCCATGCTTATCCAGAGTTGTAGATACGAGTCTCCTCTTGTGTTACATGCACAGATATGCAATGTACGTAAGAAAACGAGAATCTGCAATGTGATGAAAAGGACTGAATAGACAATGCGGTACGAGTAGACTCTCGACAAGCAATGTACATTCTCATTCATACATAAAGATGCTGAAGAGCGCAGGGAAGACTTTGACACAAAGACTGACCTGACAGGACTGACCTCATTCACGTAGTTCAGAGTAACGAAGCAGAATGCTAGAGTGCTACTAACTAGCCCAATCAATGTTTGAACTCAGACTAAACATGCATTGTATCCATCACCGAGTGTGAAGGAGCCTGGCGCTGCACACAGGAAGAAAGCGCCAGGTCCAGACATACATAGACGAAGAGATAAGGATCAGACGAAAGGAGGGAGGAAGATGGGAATGTCGTTAACACCAAGTCTTGGTCACCAATCCCAAATAGTCCCTCATTGCCATGTCTGAACCCCCGAAAGTCGAGTCTGGATCAAACGTCACCAAGCTCTGTATCTCTTCTCTCATAGTCTGCAGATGCAGTGAAGTCAGAAGTGAGAGGGAGAGAAGAGATGGTGGACTGAGAAGAAGAAGAAGAAGAAACTCTCTCTCTCTCTCTCTGTTACAAACCAGATAT